GACCCAACAGAATGTGGAAACTACAGAACAATCTCACTGATTTCACATGCAAGCAAGATTTTACTGAAGATTATCCAAAAACGACTGGAACAGCACTGGAAAGGAGGGGAGGAAAAAAGGAAATAAGATGAGTACAAATGCCACTCCCATCCTAAACAGGGAAACTGAAGCCCAGTTAAGTAATCAGCCCCAAGCCAGGCAGCCAGGAAGTGTGTTGCAGCCAGGAGTCAGACTTTGTTACCTTCTCCAAACCAGCCGAAGGCTCCTTTCTCCTTCTACCCCTGCGAGTAGCCTGCCCCTCCTTCCCTTTGATCCTCCTAGGTGGTCGGGCCTTTTTCTGCATCTCTTTTCTTCCTCAGACCTGGTTTTGTTTTGGTTTTTAGGGGTTTTTTTTAAAATTTTTTATTGTATTATTTTTATGTGTACCGTCAAATCAGACCTGACTGGTACAGGAGGAGATTGCCCCCTCCTTCTCCAGCAGAGCATCTGGTGGATTTGAACCACGTACCTCTGGGATTGCAGTGCAGCATCTTGCCACTAGGCCACCAGAGCTCCCCTCAGACCTGTTCTTAAACACAGGCACCTCAGGATCTCAAAGCTAAGCAGGATGTTGTCATCCACAGAGACGGAAAGCAGCTCTGAGCGGTGTATGACATGCCCATATCCCCCTAAATCACAAAGGTCGTAAGGATAGGAAAAAGAAGCAGGTATGTGAAAAACACAACCAGAAATACTTGAGGGTCCACGGCGTGCCAGACACTTCTGGGCATGATAAGAGCCAACACAGAATCCAGTCCCTTTCCAGGTGGTCACAGGTCAGGCTGAGGGTGATGGAGCTGTAAGCATGAAAACCAAGGAAGAAGATAATTTCAGATGTCAGTAGGTGGTGCTCCCGAGAAAAGGGGCTACAAGTGAAAAGAGGGCCAAGACTAGAAGACATCTAGGGATGATGTGCTTATGTAGGTCGAGATGCTGTTCCAGATCCTCCTCTGCCTTTTACCTGCCTGGTAAAGACGAGGCTGAAAGCAGGTGGTGGAGGTGGTGGTTGTTAAGTGCCGTCGAGTGATAGACGACTCATAGCGACCTATGAACTAAAGACCTGAACACTTGTATAACTTTGGTCGTTTCTTCATGTTCATTGAGTTTCTGGAGGCAAACCATTTTGGAAGTGGATGCCAGTCCTGCTTCCAAGCTTGGAAGCTTCCAAGCTTCTAATCAGGAAGTTCCACCAAACACAGTCCGCCGTGGGTAACCATTATCGCATTTGATGCATCAGGGTCACAGTGTTTAGCATCACAGCAACCTCGAGTTACCTCTGTACAATACACAGACCAGTGCTCTACCACTTAGAAGAATGTTTGACAAGAACCAATTTAAACCTAATGGGGTTTTTTAACAGGAGGCTTACCACGGGGTCTCACTCCCCTTAGCGAATCAGCATTCCACCCTAATGCTCACCAATCCCAGTCAGCATGCTTCTGTTAAACCCAGCTCCTGGCAGATGACTTTCAAGCTGGCTTCCAGCACCCCCCCCCCCGCCCCCGGCCCCAAATACGGCTGACCAGATGCACGTAAGTATTTTTATTCCCACATTCCAGATGAGGGTCCCTAGACTGGGAGAAGTGAGGAAGCGTGCTTTCAAATCACTCAAGCAGACAGGAAACCCTGTCCCAGGGAGAATGCTGACGGGCTGATTCCTCTGCCAGGAGGGGAGGGTCTGCCGGGAGCGGCGGCGTGCCCAGCCCTGCCCAGTCCCTGCCAGGAGCAGCCCATAGCGACAGCGCCCTAACCTATTGACCCAGGTAGGAGGCGGAGCCCCAGGAGGCTGAGTCTACGGCAGTGGACCGACAGTGGCCCGCGATTGGCTCTCTCGGAGAAGGGGCGGGGCCCCGACGGGCAGTGCAGGCGCCGCGGTGGGCGTTGCCGAATGGGGGAAGGGGCGGGGCCGCGCGTGGGCGGCCGTTGACGGCGCCGCTCCGCCCCGGATGTGGCTCGTCCGTGGGTCGGGCGATGACGATTGGGCGGCGCGGCGTGGGGGGGGGGGGCGGGGGGCGGGGGGGAAGGTTCTGGGGGGGGCCAGCGGGCTCTGGAAGCTTCCGCCGGACGGGTATATAGAGTCGGAGCCGGGGCGGCGGCGGAGCCGGGGGACGGCAGGAGCGGGGTGGCGGGCCGCGGGTGGAGGCCATGGGCAAGGATTACTACCAGACGCTGGGCCTGTCCCGCGGCGCCTCGGACGAGGAGATCAAGCGGGCTTACCGCCGCCAGGCGCTGCGCTACCACCCGGACAAGAACAAGGAGCCCGGCGCCGAGGAGAAGTTCAAGGAGATCGCCGAGGCCTACGACGTGCTCAGCGACCCGCGCAAGCGCGAGATCTTCGACCGCTACGGGGAGGAAGGTGTGTGCGCGAGCGCGCGCGTGGGGTCGAGGGGGCGCGGCCCCCGCCGTTGGACGAGCCGGGGAAATCGAGGCAGGGGAGGGAGGGACCCCCGGGAGGGACCGCCCCCCGCCGCCGTGTCTGCCTCTCGCCGGCCTCCGCCCTCGGCTTGGCGGCGGCCACCCGGTGGGAGGAGGAGAAGCGCTGGCCCCGAAGGTTCTAGCATGTCTGGGGCTGCCCCTCCCCGGGCTCCTCCACCCACGTTCCCGGAGAGCCCGGGGTGGGGGGGGGTGACGGGGCCCCCGGTGCGGGCGGAGACCGGGGCTCGTGGATCGCCGATCGCGGCCCCCTCCCCGCGGGCTCACCTGCGCCCACCTGGGCGGGGCGGGGCGGCGCCTGACAGCTCTGCGAGCAACACCTGTGGGTGGGAGGGCGCAGGTTGGCGCAGGCCCCGTGAGGGTGGAGTGAGGTAATCCCCGTCAAGTGCTTACCTTGCCGTGTGCCAGGCACGTAGGAAGCGGCCAGGATCGGGATCGCCTCGCCCCGGGTCCCCGAGCCGCCCCTGCCCCACCCCACCCCACCCCGGGGACCGAGGGCAAGGGCTTGGCCTGCTGTCCATTCGCCCGTGGATGACTCGCCTTGGCTTCTGGACTCTGGTCTCGAGAAATCAGCGTCATAGACGACGTGGGCACTAATGTCAAGGGTTGATGGTGAACATTTAGAAAAGCTGTTGTTTTCCCCTCCTCCCCTGTGTCCTTCCCACCGGTCATTAGTATCCAAACCCAATTTGCTCTTGAATAATCTCTTTCAACCCGGAGTGGGGGAGCCTCGGATGCAGGCGAACTGGCCGAGGCTGTGATCTTGACAAGACAGGGTGCCTGTATCCTGCCAAGCAGCCCAGTGGCTTTGAACTTCATGCTTCCCGGTTAGCCTGCCCTCCTCCGCGGTGGCCCCAGCCCGAGGAAGCATGCCCTTCGCCGGCCCTGCAGAGTGAAGAGTTAACAAACTCCCCGGAGGCCTCATTGAACCGGGCCTTTCTCCCCTCCACGTTTTTGTGAATGCGTGTAACTCGCTGGAAGGACAGATTTTCCAACTGGTGGCGGGCTGATTGGCACCTGGAGTGCTTCACGCCCAAGCGCGCCTGGAAGGTCCCTGTTTCTGTCAGAGACGTAGGGCTCCTCCTTTTTTAAATAATCAAAAAAGCTTTCCCACCTCCTGACAGCTCCCAAGGTTTTTACGCTTAAGGAAAGAAGCCGTGGCCGGTTTCCTGACTTCTCCTTTTGCTTTTCAGGCCTGAAGGGTGGCGGTTCCAGCGGCGGGAGCAGCGGTGGTACTAATGGGACCTCTTTCAGCTACACATTCCATGGAGACCCACATGCTATGTTTGCGGAGTTCTTCGGTGGCAGGAATCCCTTTGATAACTTTTTTGGGCAGCGGAACGGGGAAGAAGGCATGGACATCGATGACCCTTTCTCTGCCTTTCCAATGGGCATGGGGGGCTTCACCAACATGAACTTTGGCCGCTCCCGAGCCACCCAGGAGCCCACCCGAAGGAAGCAAGACCCTCCTGTCACCCATGACCTTAGGGTCTCACTTGAAGAGATCTACAGCGGCTGCACCAAAAAGATGAAGATCTCCCACAAGCGGCTGAACCCCGACGGAAAGAGCATTCGCAACGAAGACAAGATCTTGACCATCGAAGTGAAGAGGGGTTGGAAAGAAGGGACCAAAATCACCTTTCCAAAGGAAGGAGACCAGACCTCCAACAACATTCCAGCTGACATCGTCTTTGTTTTAAAGGACAAACCGCACAACATCTTCAAGAGAGACGGCTCTGATGTCATTTACCCAGCCAGGATCAGCCTTCGAGAGGCTTTGTGTGGCTGCACGGTGAATGTCCCCACTCTGGACGGCAGGACCATACCCGTCGTGTTCAAAGATGTCATCAGGCCTGGCACACGACGAAAAGTACCTGGAGAAGGCCTCCCCCTCCCCAAAACGCCCGAGAAACGCGGGGACCTAATTATTGAGTTTGAAGTGATCTTCCCTGAAAGGATTCCCCAGACATCAA